TTGTATTTTAAAGCTTGAAAGTCTATTTTAATAATTACTGTTTATTACTTATTTATTATTATTATGATCGATTAGGTCATCCCGCTGAATTTATCAGCATGCAGTAGTAGATGATATTAGCTGCATTTAGCAGAGAAAGCAGTTTTGTAACTGTCATAAAATTCTTTAATATTGTTAACTTATACATTTAAATCCATAAGGAATCAAAAGCAAAAATCAATCATATTGATAAATTTTACAACATTTATAAAGCTGTTTTTTCTGTTGAACACAGCCATTATTAATTATATTCGCGGTGTTATTACACATTATGAAGTGATGTAGATAGGAATACGGGTAGAGATAGGATAGACACGAATAAATATGGATAAGTAGGACAAGTAGGATAGATAGGAATAAATACAATCATTTTAAATTAAAAAATTAAATTAAATTATTACAAATAAAATAATACTTAAATAAATTTCACGGTCGGGTAATTAAATTTTATTTTAAAAATAAAAAATAAGTGTAATGAATCTAAAACATATTACATAATAAATCTAATTTGTAAACTGTGTGACATGTAGGTAGGGATATATAGATATCACACGTAATACTTGATAATTGGAAAAGAGGAATTAAAAATTAAATAAAATTTTAAATTAATTTAAAATTTTAATTATCAGCATCCCATTCCAAATATCAAATATAAAAATAAACCAAATTATATATAATTTTGAATTTCATTGAATTTTCAGCTCCCCTGAAATTAAATTTAATTTCTTATAAAATTCTGTATATATACAAAGTGTGTAACGCGTTAATATTGTAATTAATTTTGTTATAAATAAAATGTATGTATAATAGTACGTAATGTAATATTAGGTACGTAATATAAAATTTATGTAAACTATGTCCAGGTAAATGCCATCATGTTTATTTTTATAATTTGTGCAATAATTACTAATCAATTATATATTTATTAGAAATGTTTATAATCGTATTAAATATATTTGTTCAATACATGTAGCATTTATCTTGTCGTAGTAAATCAAATTTATTGTTGTTTTATTGATGTAAATTACATGAAATCGACAACATATGATAACAAAAATTGTTTATTGATTTAACGAATTTGATAATATATTTAATTTTAAACTTTTTTTTAAAATTAAATTTGGATTTTATTTTGAATATCAAAAAGTCAAAAATACTCAAATAATAATTTTGAGTAACTTTTAATTAAAAATTTGCTGCTTAGAATCATCGTCAATTTTTTTTTGTCTTTTCCGTATTTATACAAATTTATTAAATAAATCAATAAAGAAAGAACTTTGATTGAGACAATGGTTAACTTTTTGTTTGTTTTTTTATTTATATTTTTAACATTACAAAATTACAAGTATATCTTAATGATTGATTCATTATATGTAAAGATCTCATCGCTGTCTCTCGCGTCAGATATATGCCAATGAATGCCAGTGAAGTGTTGTATCGATGGAAAATCGTAATTATTTTCATTATGGAGAGTTGTTTCTCGTCACTTTTCGTAAAATTCATTCACAAAGTTCTAGTTCTAGCAGTCTAGTTTGGTGTTCTGTTCGACATTTTTATACAGAATCGGAATTAATCTCGGGTTTTCTCGTCATTTCCTAAAAGTAATCTTACTAATAATTCAATGATAATTGCTATATATTTTAAAGTCGAGTTGCGAAATACAGTGGTATATTTTAGAGTACAATTTTCGCTTTCTTAATTTCACTAAATGTTCTCCCACTAGTAATAATATTAATAATAGACTCTCTTAATGACAATAGGAATTTAATATTACATTAATATGGATTAATATGGATTAATATGAATATTTGTATAAATTTAAATTATGAAATAATTTAAATTTATGTATATTTAAATTTATACAAATAATTTGCTTATTTTTTTATAATTGCTTTAATAATGGTATGTGTATATTTGATTACGAATGTGTATATTTGATTTTCTAATTATTTAAAAAATTCTTTTTAGGTATTGGACATCCTGCCATTCTAGAATATTATTAGGATTAATTATTAATTTATATGTGTGTG